CTAGACAACATGAGATTAATGATCTAATGTGGGCTCAGATGGCTCCACCCCATTGCACCTCTGAGAAATGTCAGGATTGGAGGGATGAACGTAAGAGGGAGAGCCTCAGCTCAGTTGATGGCAGCCTATGGAAAAGAATAGACCTTCAGTGATCATCTCCTGAAGAGAGGGGCTGGCTTAAGATAGGAGCTCCCCAGCTGACCGGTTCCCAATAGTTCCTCCCTGAGGAAAGGGAGGGCCAGCTCTTGATGCACTTTGAAACATTCTCCAGTTTCATGTGAACTCAGTTTATTTGCATTAATTCCCCTTGTTTTTTGTTCAAGGCCAACTCTGGAAGGGGACAGACTTTAAAGTGACTTGCTGGAGAGCCAAGTCACAGGAAGAAACAGACCCACAGGCACAGAGCCACCGTTGGGAGAAGAGCTGCTACTTCATGCACGGCCATAAGAAGGAGCTAGCGGTGAGCCAACTGCTTTGCACCCTTCAGATGTATAACCACTTATTTGCATAGACAAATGGGGGCATGTGGAGGAGGCCTGTGGAAATCGTGTTGGGAATTTGTCCCTTAAGTACAATACCAAAGCACTGAAACCATCTACTGTAAATGTAAATCAAAGCAATTGCATTGCTTTTTACAGAACTTAAATTGCTTGTAGTACTGGAGTCTAGCCCCCGTGAAATGGTATTGCTACTCATCTCATGTTGCTGTTCCTACAGCAGTAGACCCTGCACTGTCAAGGCTTCACAAACTCTGGTCTAAGCAGAATCACTTACTGTGGTCACAAGTAAAATGGAAGGCACTGACTGACCACTATTTATGCAGACTGTTGTGTGGTACACAATTTCTCAGCTAAATGGGACTATATAAGCATCTTTTCCTAGTGGATAGAGGTCTGGATTGGGACTCTGTCATTGGCGTGACATTGGAAAAGTCACCTCACCATCCTGTGTCTTAGAATCTGTAAAATGGGGATAATGATCCTGATCTCCCTTTGTAAAGTGCTCTGAGAGCCCTGGATAAAATGTTCTATAAGAGCTAGGTATAGTAAATAGAATACCAGATACTTTCAGAGGTATTCTAATCCTATGGAAAATGCCCTCAAATATACCATAGTAGCAAATTTAAATAAAGATAATAACACCGGGCCCCAACTACAGAGCACAGTGGTGTAATTATCCCAGGATTATTGCAAACAAATTTTATTACTGAATTTAATAAAAATAGTTTGCAATGCATGGTCTCAAGACTCCAGATCCTCCGAGGGGTTTGCTCTGTGTATGTTTTGAATCAGAATCTAAATCGAGCCCTAAGTCAAAACTTTGCACTAGGACCCTATTGCTGCTATGGCTGAAACTAACCCTCCTCCCTGCACCCAGAGCCAAACACCTGCAAACTTCGGAGTGTTTGAAATTCAGGATGAAAATTTTCAACAGATGCTTGAAGTTAGGATTCTGATTTTCAAAATTGCTTCAGTGGGACCTATTACATGTTCAGTGTGGAAATCAGGCTACTTAGGGGGCCTGAGTGAGGCACCTAGTTTTGAAAATCTTGTTCCCAATCTGACTTTCATGGCTTAGGCCCCTGTCTAATATATCTGCGTGTGAGGGATATGAAGAGGTTGATAAAGGAAATATCAGTGAAAGTGAGTTATAGTCATGCATTTTTAAATACCCTTTATATGGTGTTTTTCAGTGAAACTAATACACCTTGCACATTTGAAAAGGGGCCGTATCTTCTCCTGAATTCACTGACTTGTATCAGAGGAGACCAGGTCATGGAAATACCATGCAGTGTATTTTGTAAATCTGGAATTCAGTTCTCTAATTATCTTCTGCATAAAAAGATCACCATCCCTCCTCCCCCCGCTTTGATTTAAATTACAACAAAGCCGAGGCCAGTCTCCTAGAGGCAGCTTGAAAACAGTAAATTGCTTCTCCTCTATTTGTTGTGCCTCTTTCATTTATATTAATAAACTCACAAGCTACAAGTGTAAAATGTAAACATTTGTATATGGTTCTCCACCTTTCCCAGTGTAGTCTGCTAAATCGGGTGCAAGGGATTATTGAAGGATGGGGTTGTGGAAGCCCACTCTAATGAGCAAGAATGAATTTGCAGCATAGGGTATTTTTTCCCCAGGAGCTCATGTGTTCATTTCTCAAGTCCAAAAATAATAATCACACCACATAGACCAACGTAAATCGAGAACCCCCAGAGGACTCTTTAGTCTTCCTTGTTGGAGTCAGCTGCAGCAATCTCTGTCCATTCTTCTTCATGATCTTATCAAGGACATTTGTAGTGGATCTCACAATTCAAATTATATCAGATTTTTCATAAAGGTGATAGGGTTTCACTGGGAATAGTTATTTGCCTTTTGCAGCCTCTGTACACAGAGGTTTCAGTCATGTATACTATCACGAAGGAAAGGCTACCGTAGCTATTCAAATCACTAATCTTATATGGGAGACTAAGTATAGGTTTGAAAATTAGGATACAATCATACAGAGCAACAGCCTTAGAGTGTGAAAATGAGCCAAACGGGAGAGTGGGCCACTGACACAAACACATGCATTTCCAGTGCACTAACTGAAGTTCCATCTTGTCATGTCATCAGTGAATTTGGCCCAGCGTGGCTAAGTAGCATGCCTGATATGAGATGAATTTGACTTCTTGGAGAATGACGGGGGGAGGGTGTGGAGAAGAGAACTATTGGGCTCTCAGCTCAATTTGAGAGAGTAGTCATAAGGAAAGAGAAATGTACAAGCATGGAGCAAGCTTTCATAGAAGATTTTCCTCTTTAGGAAACACTGCAACACCTTCCTCTTCAAAAAGCCCTTTCCACTATCAGAATAACACAACAGTAATAGCACCCAGTCCTCCCCACATTAGCCTGAAACACATTAACCTCAACAAAAAGTAAATCAATGAAATTTAAAGGGTCAGAACCAAAAAACCTTTCCACATAGAGCTTTTACCCCAAAAAGGGAGAAGTGGCAGAGACTCCATGAACTCGCCTAGGGACTAGGTTGTTGATTTTACATTGAAGATGCTTAGGTACTATGGGCAGCAGTATAAAGCCCTTAAGGCAGTAAAGTTTTTATTCCTCCCCCAATCCCATCTGTTCCCATCTGGGCTGTCCTCATTAAAAGCCTAGTATTATGGAGAATAGACATGCTTTCCATTCACTTCCTCGAGAGTAACCCATAAAGTGCTAATATGTCTTTATTGTTTGCAGATGCCACTTGCTAGTTTTCTGCACAGAAAAGCACCAGGATATGTGCATTGCAGAATTTGAGAGAGATGCTGCAGATGTCTCAACTACAGTATGTTAGCACACCAATCCCTTATTCGGTTTAACGCTTTCTGTTCTTCAACCTCTTCACTGTTTCTGTGAATATTAAGCCAGAGGATTTGAAAATATTATTTCTTAAAGGCTTGGTTAATCTTCTTCCATTTGCTCCTTGTTTAGTGGCTGACCTTTGATAGGAGGACAATGTACTGTGCCATCTTCTCTGACTTAATGAGCTACTGAAGAACCATTTTTATAACCTTCATAACCATATTATTAATATATGGTAACTAAGAATGTTAATATGACTCTACAGCATAGTGAATACCTGCAGGCTTGTTACTCTTATCAGAAAAATTTATTGTACAGCCTGACTACTTTACTATAGGTCTTAGCTACTGTGTAGTATGATTACATACGTGTCAATGTTTGTGTAAATCAATATTTCTAGGCTTGTTTACGGAAACGGCTCAAGCGATGTATTTGAGAGTATGGTTTTGATAGTGTAAGCCCACAGGGCCAGTGTGTTCACACTGAATCCACTCTTCCTTTCGATGTCCCACCACTAGAGTGTGTCTCTTTAGTTTCTTTTTATCTGATGGGAAGATAGACAAAGGAACAGAGAATGAATAAAGAACTGTATGTGCTAGGAAGACATGATAACTGAGACTTTGACAGTCTTTGGTGCCTCAAAACTGTCTGTATTGTGGACATTGAATATACTGTGTAATCAGATAAATTCATACAACGTAATTACACAACTAAGAAAATGCGCATAGCTGGAAAAGATGTCACTGTAACAATGTCATTCTGTTCCCACAGTTGTAGAAAAAGTTCCTGTTCATCCCCAGATTCAAAGCATGTCTTGAATTTTGAGAATTAGAAGCGTTGTTAGGCAGGGAAAGATACTGTTGTTTAAATGTGATCAAGCAAACACTTTCTCTTCAGTTTCTGCCTAAATCCTTTACTTGTTACTGGGGGGATTTACATATGAATTATTACATCTTCACATTCAAAGTACTGTAGAAATACTTCATGTCACTTTAATCTCAATTGTGAAGATATGAAGAGTATCGCATGGATCAAAAAGTGGCAGGAGAATAAGAGGTGGTTTAGAGATCTATCAGTTTCAAAAATGTTTGACAATATATATCTCTGTTCATTATACTCAGGAACTTATTTTGTCATTGTTAAACTTTTCAGAGAAGGGCTTATTGTGTAGACAAGAGACATTCTTGCAGCTTGATAAAGGCAGAGTTAATTCAAAACAGACAGGAGCAACTGCTCCTAAAATATATATTTCTATTAAAGGGAAGCTCCTGAAAACTCAGCTGAACGTTAAACCAGTACCAATTGGCAACAAGTGAGAGGGAGTAAAACTCTGTAGTGATTTACTCACTATACAACCCTGCTTGCTTTAATGGAGTTTTATATGTTGTGTTTAGTCTGTGTAAAAATACATAAAAATCCTATTTGTGAAGCGAAAGGAAGAGCACCTATATCAGGAAGCTATCCACCAATTTTAACCTTCTTCCACTTTGAAATGATACATTCCTTGGGTAAAATCCCGACTCCATGGGAATTTGGCTCTTGTTTTCAATAGACTTCCAAGGAGCTAGGCTTTTGCCCATTCTCTTGGCAGATGATAGAAGACATTTTCCCATGGAAAATATTTGCAGTATATTATTCGCATGAACAGAAAAACCCACCTGCAACTCTTAATAACCAACTTTTTATTAGAGCAAATACAGTTGTGGAAACTGTACGTTATACATTTTGGGTTCAAGACTTTTATAAATAGAGAAACTCCTACATAAAGAGTTCATTTTTTTCACAGCAAGAAAATTTAAATAGACAAAGTGACATTATTAAGTACATTGGCAGGCTTCATGTGCTGTCCGAAATGTAGTGTACAGTATAACAACTAATTATAAATAGCCTTTCATGTAAAATACAGCTGTGCACATTTTAGAAAAATACCAACAATTTTTGAGCTTTGTTTTAGAAAAGCTTATAAATCATACATATTTATAAATTGTACTAACATGCTTAAATTTATAAACATTTTCAGAAGCTGATTGTTACCCCATTATTTTCAGAGCATAAAGTATTTTAAATAAACATTGAATAAGAATTAAATGTCAGTTACAAAATTAGTTCTTTTTGTAAGGAGACATGGGGTGGGGGCAGGAGCATTTATCCTTACATCAAGGCTTACAGGAACTTTAAAATTTGTTCTCATTTAAAATTACTTTCTTAAATTTAAAAATAAAACATGATTTTACTTATTTTTAAAAATGAATAAATATACCAGTTATCTTCATTTGCTCTCTGTCTGCTTTCTTCCACACTGGTCAAACCACAGGATTCGCAACATGCTTCTGCATAAAACACCGTGTTATTGCCCTGCACTGAGCTGTATCAGGCTACACAATATTCATTCCATACCTATGTTACTTTATGTGCTGCATCAAAAGATACCTAATGTAGCTTTTAAGAAACTTTTCCATTAAACCATGCAAGCAATTATAAAGTTTACAAACATGTTCAAAAACTAAAAATTATGAAATCTTTTCTAATAGAGATAAAATAAACCATATTCCAAGCCCTTTTCTATTTTTGATTTGAAAGTAAATATTTTAATTTAAAATGATCACACCACATAAACTTCTGTAAGTAAAGAAGCATGCTTTTGAGTAATATAGGGTACAGTAATTACAGTGTAATGGCACATGAAAAAACATTGATCACATCAGCATAACATAGGACTGTAAAACAACTTAAGACAAATGTTCCAAATGACAATTTCTGTGGCTTTCTTTTGTTGTTGTTGTTGTTGAGGTAAAATTATATACAGACTTTAAAGACATAAAGGAATCAAATTGATAAACAATCATTTTAATGGATCTAAATGCTCTACCTGAATGTATTCAACACAAAGCTAGTATTTTAAAATTAATAATAATTTTGAATGTAGTAACTAGCTTAGCTTTTATTGGCATTACTGTCCATTTGGACAAGACTTGTCTTTAACTGCTGGCAAAAATCCCAATATTAAAATATAATCATTCAAATTACTGATTACCACAACACTGGTGTCGGAGAAAAACCATACAACACTTGAATCCTATTTCTCAAGATATTCTGCCTCCTTTTTCTAATGTACTGGTACTGCCTGAAGATTCTCACGGTATTATAAATTGGCTTGCTATTGACACAAGCATTTGAGCATTTTTGGAAGCAATAAAGGATAGCTTAAAACTTTGCCATTACTGTATATTACCTGCTAAACTGTAATAATTTAGGAAAACAAGTTTCAAGAATTGTACCTTCAGATAAAAAAATATATATATGTATAACAGATTTTAGCTTCTGCTGCTAGATGCAACTAGTACATTTCTCCAGGTTGCTCTACATACTATATTATGGCTATACATCAGGTTTAAACAACAGCGAAAACAGAATCATGCACTAGCAAATGAAATTCAATCTCCCTGACCATTGCAGGAGATGTTAAAAGCAGCAGGTAATGGAATAAGACTGGTGAGTGATGCTGCTAACTATTTCTTCTAATGAGATTGGAGTGAACGCTGGAATCACTTCCACAGCAACTGAATCCTCTGACCACATTCCTCTGGCAGTCGTTTTCCGATCTCCCTACTAAAAACATCAGACGGTAAAATAATAAGGCAGCTGTTAGCTTCCATCAACAAAAAGTGCAGCTCCGTACATTTCCAGTTTAGTCACACACTGCTGGAACAGATGGAGTAGCCAATGCACTTCACTGGTTGGGCTGTTTCAGCAGATTTTTGTTGTTGTTTTCCAACATGGCTGCTTCAGCTTCCAGAGGACCCCAAAAGCCACAAATCATCAGCAGAGAAACTGATCAAGCCCCTGGCTGAATTTTCCAAGTGTCATCTCTCTTGCGTCCCATCCTAATTCCAAGCCTCCTTCCCTGTGTCTGAGTACGACTGGTGCCATTTAAAAGGCTGATGAGACAACTGCAGAGAATTGTGGGCTAACACCACTAGTTGTCATGACTTCACTGAAGGGTCAAAACAATTATATCATTAAGTAACTATGTTGAATCACATTCAGGCATAGCTAAAATTAAAATAGGGAACATTAAAAGTTTGTAAATCTTTATAATTTGAACTGGGGAATCAAACTGATTTGGATATGGTGATCTTTTATAAAAACAAGACCTTTCTTACCTTCTCTAATTCCAGTCAAGTTAGAAAATGGACAAAAAGAATGGCTAAACCAATATTCAACAGCATTACCAGGGCAATCATGACTGAGTTAGGACCCTGAAAATACAATAAAATGGGTTTCGATTACATTTTTTAAAATGAAAAAGTCATGCAAGCCTGAACATAATGCATGTTCTAAATGAAGTCACAACAGGAAATATATATCATGACCTTGTCTTGACCTTTTAAAACCTGCCTCTGAAAGATTAATCATCCCTAAAGGTACAGACTCTACTCCTGATAAACAAAACATTTAAACTCATTATTTCTGGCATTCAGCTGTGCTAAATATCATGTGTGTGAGAAATGCAATGGATGCTGTAAATGCAGGTGAAATTAAATGTGGTATCATACTGATTTAATCAAGTCAGGATTAAGTTGTTTTTCTTGGAACTGTGATTGTCCAAAGAAAACAAAATAGTGCAAGACAAAAACTATGCCAGATTTTTAAAACAAAACAAACTTCAGTAGTAGTAAAAAAAGATTATAGTACAGCACCTCTTCCCTAGTTCGGGCCTCTTCATAGACTCCAACCTCTTTTAAAGTAGAAAATATAACTGTTATGTAAAATAATACGCCCTGGCACTGGCAGTACTCTCACTGGAATTTCCTCTTTCCCTTCCCTCTGCAGGTAGTTTGGCTAAGAAAAAAGATATGATAGAGATCCCCCAGAAATCTGTTAGTAAATATTTAAACTGTAATTTTAACAGTTGCAGAATTACAGACCTGTTCCTGCTCTTGTAGATATTGATGGCAAAATTCCCTTACTTTATAAATGGAGGTGGTCAATTTTGTAGAGAAATGTAAAAGTCAAAACAACCCCCGCCTTCCAAGCAAAATCTAAATTTTATTAAAGAGCAGACTCTTAATCCTTGTATAATTTCTTCATTTTTATATGAAATAGATGACCAAAGATTCTGGTTAGCCTTCTGATATATACCGCTGCTTTTTTAACAGTGCCCAGAAAAATATAATTTGTACAGATGCTCACTTATGAATAGCTTGGCATATACGTTTAACAGATGAGATGCCTCTGTTCTTGGGTTCTCCTTTTAAAGTTTTTGGCATATTTACTCAGACTTACATGTGATTAACTTTTAAAAAATGCAAATTCACTGCTAGTAAAAAAACAAAGAAAACCACACCACTTATAAAATTAATTCCTATGGAAAACACACAGGATCCACACAAAAAGGCAAGACCTGAGCAGGGCAACACTGCTGGACCTGTTGATGGGACTATCACTCTTAAGATCACAAGAGGGATAACAAGAATTTATTGACTTATTGCAAATGTCATCTATTGTAAAATGCCGCTACACTGAATGGCTATAATTGACATCAGCCATACAATCCCTGGAATGATACAGGCTGAGAACTGTTTGCTAGAATATTGTAATGGCAAAGCCTGTCTTAAATGAACAGTATTTGTGCTAATATCACATCAAATAGTATTAAAAATGGTTTAGAGATGATTACAGGCAAACACTTACTACCAGGCCTAGTGCTTACTACTGTGAGAACAGTGTGTACAGTGATGAGCACTAGGCCTGGTAATAAGTGTTTTCAAGGACTGGGCTCATAGTACTCTTACAATAGAATCCACTACAGATGGTAGCTGCAGGGGCCTGTAGGCTTGGAGAAATGGAGTTAACAATTAACAGACACCAGGCTTGCCAACTGTCGTGAATTTATTGTGAGAGACATGAGTTTTAAGTAAAATTAAGCCTCACTCATGATCTCATGATAGAACTCTCAAAGCTCAGGATATTTTTTCAGCCCCAGGTGGCAGCTCTCTGGCTATCAACCCTGGGCGGCTGCGTTCCTGCCAGCCTGGGAAGAGGGAGAGGTGACTCCACTAGAGCCCTCCTAGGCCTGGGGAGGGTGAAGAACCCTAAGAGGAGCATAGGTGAGGCTGGGAGAGCTGAATTATAGTGTGGGGGCTGCAGGGTAGGGCTGAAGTGAGGGGGGTGGGGCTGATGGGGTGGGTAGGCTGTATTGATGATGGCTTCTGAGCAGATGGTGTGAGTGCTAGGAGGGTGAACTGAGACTGGTGGGGGTCGATGAGCTAGGGGAGCTGAGCTAAGGGGGGTTGGGTGGGGAGAGAACTGATGGAGGACAGGATTAATTACTGGGCAGGAGAGGGGCAGATGTGGGGGTGAGAGCTCCTGCAGCAAGGGCCAAAATCACCTTATCCAATACATGTGGGAGAATGGGCAACACTAGTTGTCATATGTACACACCCTGGGGATGGGAAATTCAAAAATCAAGAGACTGACCTAAAAAAAATGCAATACAATCTTTTTGCGTCTCATGATTTTTGATCTCTTGAAGTTGTCAATACGGAGATGCTCCCATTTTGATAGTGCTACTGCCTGCTGAGATGCAAAGAGGCTGTCAAACGAATGGAGAGCCCCTTGGAGATGGGCGGAGGCACACTATCTGTACTGGGCCTATTTGCCTGGTGTGATGGCCCAGCATGTATAGTTAGCATTTAAGAAGTGAGCACACGGCCAGGAACAGGTGAAGGACTTTCTGCACAAATCACAGCTAACAAACAAATAAGACCAGGAGAAGAGACACAAAACTAGCATAAGATCAAAACTTTAAAATAAATATCCAGAGGCAAGATTTTCAGAAGTGACTAATGATTTTGAGTGACTCAGTTTTTGGGTGCCCAACTTAAGGCACTTCTTAATGACCTAACTTTCAGGGGGCGGTTCCTTAGAACTTTCTGAAAATTAGACCCTTTAAGGCAGTAGGTAATCCACTGGCGGGCTGCGAGACAGTTTGTTTACATTGACCATCTGCAGGCACGGCCGCCTGCAGCTCCCATTGGCCGGGAACGGCAAACTGTGGCCACTGGGAGCTTCGGGTGGTCAATGTAAACAAACTGTCTCGCGGCCTGCCAGCAGATTATGCTGATGGGCTGCAGGTTGCCCACCACTGCTTTAAGATGTCTCCAGTTGGTGCACACTATCACTAGCAACTTCTAAAAATCTTGGGTCATGTCACTAAGTACGTCTACACTGCAATTTAAGGTGCAACTGCAGCTCATATAAGCATCCCATGCTAGCTTTAACCAGTCCAGTACAGATATGGTGGCATGGGCTTCAGCCTGGGCTAGGAGCCCCTGTATAGGTCCACTTGGGACCCTACATACATCCTTGGGTTGCTGTTCTGTGCTGCGGTGCATGCTGCTGTGTCTTCACTACTATCATTAGCTGTGCTCGCTAGATTAAAACTAGATTGGATCTGGCTACTGTGTTACACATTCAACTACAGTGCAGATGTACCCTAAATGAGCTGGAGACTTCCCACTTTAAGCAGAATTACTGCCCTGTTATGATCCCATTAACGAGTAGTCTTTCCATTAAGAAGTACCAACAGGGCTAAATCTGGTCTCTGGCAGATGCCCCCATTTATATAGTTTTGCCAGTTAAATGCAACCTGCATAAGTACAGTGCTCTGCATGACAACAAATTGTTAGAACAGTGCTTCTCAACCAGAGGTATGTTTACCCGTGGGGGTACTCAGAGATCTTCCAGGTGGTAATCAACTCATCTAGATATTTGCCTAGTTTTACAACAGGCTACATAAAAAACATTAGTGAAGTCAGTACAAACTAAAATTTCATACAGACAAATGATTTGTTTATACAGCCCTATTTACTATAAACTGAAATGTAAGTACAATATTGATATTCCAATCTATTTATTTTGTAATTATACAGTAAAAATGTAAAAAAGTAAGCACTTGTTCGGTAATAGTGTGTTGTGACACTTCTGTATTTTTATGTCTGATTTTGTAAGCAAACAGTTTTTAACTGAAGTGAAACTTGGGATATGCAAGACAAATCAAACTCCTGAACAGGATACAGTAGTCTGGAAAGGTTGAGAATCACTGAGCTAGAGGGTCACACCCTGAAGCCTTTGCTGAATTTTTACAAGTGTCTGGTGGGGGTATGTCTTCATGGCAATTAACCCCTAGTTAGGTGTTGCCCCTAACCCCCTCTTCCAGCCCCCATCCACATACACAAATCTTTGACCTACCTGAGGCTGTATGATAAAGCCTGACACTCTGGTCGGTAACCTGACCGCTCTGCAGTGGGGATGCAGGCTAAACCACTAAAGTGCTGATAGTCTCCAGTGCCTTCCCGCAATTCTCCCCATGTCCCCACAAGGACAGACATTATCTCACAATTTGCTGGCAAAGAATGGCCCAGCTTACTGCAGCACAAGGTATCATAGGATATACCCCCAGAAGTCCTAGTGCCATGCAGGGGTGAGTGCAGCAGCTGGTAACTCAGGCAGGACTTTGCAGTGTGGCTGCTCACACCCAGGTTAGGTTTACTTTTGTGCTAATCATCCAAGTTAACTCTGAAGTGAAGACATACCCTGCTGTAGCAGAGAGTGTTTTTGAAATAGACCATCAGATTCACTTTCATTCCACTTCACAGAGATGGGGACTCATCCCTCCTGCCACAAACTGGCCTTTGGATTTTCATAGGCGAGGCTGCTATTATAACTACTTCGGATGCTTACATCTGCATGGTTCAGTGCACCACAGCCATACGAGGATCCCTTTCTACGACAAACCTGTTTGAAACAAGCATGACTTGCAAACTCGAAAAGGCCAAGGCTTATACACTTATGAGACCCTTCCTACTGAAGCCACTTTTCCGTTTGTAGAAGGACAGAGAACCATACAATACACTTCACTGTTAGGATATATTTCTCCAGCGAGGAAGGATGGTTATGGTTAAGGCACTGACTTGGACTCAGGAGAGGTGGGTTCAATTCCTGGCTCTACTGCAGACTTCCTGTGTGACCCTGGCCACATCACTCAGTCTCTCTGTGTTTCAATTCCCCATCTGTAAAATGTGAACAATAACTCTATTCCCTTTGTCTACTTGGGCTGTAAACTCTTTGGGTTGCAGACTGGCTCTTACTACATGTTCATCTGGTGTCTAGCATGCTGGAGCCTGTAGATGCTTCAGTAATATGGGCCTGGATTTCCAAAGGATTGAAATTCAGTTGGAGCTGGGTGCCAACTCCTTTCAAAATCCTACCCATAAATAATAATATTGATTTACACGGAGTAGGTGAAACCCTGGCCTTGTTAAAGTCAATGGGAGCTTTGTCACTAATTTCAGTGGAGCCAGGATTTCATTCATTACTTATCATACATCCTGAACTGCATTCCACATGGTATGAGAGCTCCAAGACAGTTAGTTTTTGATTGAATAGCAACATGGGGCTATAGTTCAAACAGCAACAGGATAAGATATCAGGTTCCAGAACTCTGCCTGGAGATGGAGGGCTATTCTATTGATGCATCTATCACCCAGATGAAGTGGGTCTCATTAGCTCTTATTATGGACAATAAAAGGTAGAGAGCCTCTAAAGTAAGAGAGGGGTAGGATATGAGACAAGGAATCCTTCCTAGAAAGAAGAAGCTGATGAAGAAGTGGAGGTTAAGAATTATGTTTACTGATATTGAGTAAAGAATGAAGAAAGGGTGAGTTTGGGGCACCAACCCATGTTGAGTTGACAGAAAAGGGGCCTCACCCCATTCACAGTGGTGAATATATTTTGTTTCCTCTTTTGATAACAAGAATTGTGAAAGTGGAGCTTTCTGA